CAGGGCCTTTTGGGGCTTTTAGAGGCATCTTTTCTTGCTGGGATGGGATTTTTTTTTTTTCATTTGAAAAGTGACTTCATATCTCATTTTATTATTTTTTTGAGTGTTGCAGGATTTGTTCTGTTTGAAGTCTTACATCCTCATTTCCCGTCAGGACGATTAAAATTGATTTCTGCCGTCAGCAAGAGAAAGATAATCTGAAGTGGGTTCCTGTGAGAGAGAACTGTATCCCCACTGGAGCCATTACTAACCCTTTCCTATTATTTTAACTTTCTTTTTTTTTGGGGGGGGGGATTTCTCTTTGGGAAAGGGCAACGCAGTGCTTCTCAGCCTCCAAGTCAGTTGGGGAGAACTATTTAACCTCATGTTTTGCCATCACAAAAAGTGGACTGAGGGATTTAAATAGCTCTTGTTTACCACTGCCACCCTCCTGGTGGTATTTTTAGAGGAGTAATAGGATCCTCTCAACGCCTTCACTTTGCTTTCTCGAGCTCTGCAACCTCTGACCCCATCCCTGCACCTGTCCCAGTTTGTATCCAGACAAATTGAAACGGGATGGGTTTTTCCCCTGCACTAAGCTGGGTGGGTTCCTGGACCACTCAGAGGCTTTGCAGAAGGAGGAGGGAGGGATTTGGGCTGGAAAACCATTGGCAAGGAGTAAAATCTCAGGCTGACAAAGAAAACATGGAAAAAATGAGCACGGAGGGCAAGTGGTACTCGGGGATACAGTCCTTCCTGCCTATCTCTTAAATTAATTAAACCTGGAATGTCCTGAATAAAAAAAAAATCAATTAAATTAAATATTTTTTCTAAATCAATTAAATAACATTGTCATGGCGAGGCTTCGCGAACGAAGATTTGGGAAATAACATTGTAATGTCAATTAAATAACATTTTAATGTCCATTAAATAAATTTAAAACTTAACAAAATCGACTAAACGCTGAATATCCCAAACAATCTCCAAAACAGGCCAAAAACATCCCTAAAATATAAACAACACCTTTCCGGGCTGGAGGATCTCAGGGCCCCACGATCACGCTGGTTTGCACCAAACCCCCACAACCAAATTTATTAAAATGAGAGGGACTGGTGGTTCCTGTCGCACCAAGGACGAAAATGATGTGTTTGGCACTGATGCTGTTTTCCCCGACTGCCATCCCGGGGCTCCCAACCCACAGGGAGTCCCCCTCAAAAAGGGGGTCCCCAGCCAGGTCCCCACCATCCAACAGATCCCCATCACAAGGCTTAAACACCTTTACAAGAGAGTAATTTAACGCCATTCCCAGCTTAAGCTCCATATCTACCGGGCGTGAAATTAGTTCCAGCAAGCTGCAAATTTGCTGCTAATAAAAATATTTAGCAATTCGCCAGTCTTTAAATCAGGAGCAGAATATTTTCTTGCTTGCATCAACGCCTGTTTCTTTTTAATTCTAATATTGTGGAGTCGAGGAGCTCCAGCCGGAAAACCGGGAGTTTTACGGCTGCGCGAAGAGTTTTAAATCAGTTCCCCCACCCAGCACTTCCCACTCTGCCACCGAGAGTCTGATCCTTCATTATCATTTGATGTTGGTTATTTTGGCCACCAGGATGAGCTGGGCTTGGTGGACTTGCAGGTTTTAACCCAAAAAAAGGGCGTCTTGACCCAAACCCGCTCCATTTCCAGGGCCTGCTCCTTGAGTGGTGTCCTACAAAAGAGCTTTGATCCGTATGATCCTGTCTTGCAGGCCTTGAAGGAAGGTCACCTCTCCATCCTCCTGGGCCAAGCTTTTAATTAGCCTCAGCACTAATTGCATCTCTATGTCAAGCCCATTTCATACAATTCCACCATCAGGATCTTTGTCGTGCCTTTGCCAAGAAATGCCACAATTCCCTGATTTTTCCCTTGGGAAAAACTACCTGCAGTGATGAAGCATCCTTCAAATCATTCCTCAGCACTGGAGAACACTGAATTATTTATGCCCAAATAAACCCTTTGCATTGGGTTTTCTGGGCCGTGAGCATCCAACAGCACCTGGATGATCTGCCTGTCCTTGTTTAAAGCACGGTATTCCTTGAGAGCCTTGCCAGGAAAGGCTTTATGATACCTAAATTATTGCTATCAAACACGATGGAGCTGGAATCAATCATTACCATATCACTTGTCATTGGTCCTGTCCCCAGCACAAGGGTTTGGATGCAAACGTCACGTGGTGCAAGTCAGAAGTCTTGGAGAAACCTGGACCTGTGACACCAGCAAACGCCCCCATTTTAACAGTTATCCTGGAAAACAACCACCACAAATATGAAGTTTCTCCCAGATTCATGCAAACAACACAAAAATCCTCAATTTCTAGTGCGTTCGTACATTTTTTAATTTACCTTTTATACTCAGCATTGCCTTTCTCCTACTTTCTGTTACCTTTTTTTTCCAGGTGCAATGCGACTCTGATACAAAGAGTAAATGGGACCAAGTCCCAGCAGGTAAAAGATGGAAGGAAAAGTTATTTTAGGCCAGCAGTAAATGATCCTTTGGCCATAAAATCTAATCTTTGCATTCAACTGACCAGCTGCCAGAGCAGTCCATAAGGTAAATCCCCAGCCAAGCATTTCTGATGCCAGGGGGAGGCTGAGGTGCAGAAGAGGGTTGTGTGTGGGATGATGGGTTTTGTTGCAGATGGGATGAAGAAAGTTCTAATGAAGGTTGTGCTTGGAAATACCACACCAATGAGCTTGGTTTTCCCAGGTTCCTTCTCCCAATCCCTTAGCTGTGGATTTACCATTTGCCTCCTTTGTGCTCAAAGAAACCATAATCCCGTTGTGGTACCCTGTGGACCATGCAAATAAATATTACAGATACATATATATAATTTATATCCCTATTAATAAATATTATAGGGATAAATATATAGGCTTTTTGGAGCTGCTGGACATCATTTCAAATCCAAATCTCAGTGCTTGAGTTGCCATCAGCCCAGTTTTGATGGTGGGGTTGAAAACAACAAGCAGCACGGTTCAAACCTGGCCGCTGAATGTGGTTGCTGGAGTGTATATTGGATTTATTCTTCAACCTCTGGCCAAATACCTGGGATTTGGTGCAGTCCATCAGTGGGCTCAATAGCTGGATGATTCATGTTCCCTGCTGCAACCTCTTGAACTGGCTTGATGTTGTCATTGCCAGCATCAAGAAACTACCAGGAGATGGAGATAAGAAATAAAGATCTGGTCAATACAGGAAGAAGTTAAAGAGGTCGTTGGAAAAGCTGTGGGTAAAAGGTAGAAGAGAAAAATAAGTCAAGAAAAAGCCTCGTTGGCCGATGGACAAAAAATTATCACTTTCGGATGGAAAGCCAAAAGACAGGAGAGGGATGGCAGAAAAAGAAGGTTCCAGCTGAAAACAGGGCTGTGGAGAAGAAATTTGGGGTTTTACAAACGACTGGAAAAGAAATGGCAAAACAGAGAAAAGCGAAGGGATGTTCCCAAACAACAGGAGCAAATCTGTAATTTCTGCTTGCCAACAGGAGCGGGAAGCTTGGGGAACAACAGAGGAGAAGATGGACATCGGGGATGTGGGGTTTGCAGAGGGGAAAAGAACCTGCCTGGTGGGATTAACAGCACAAGGTGGAGCGGGAAGGAGTTTGCTATCAAACATACGCTTTTAATATGTTGGCAGCCGGTTCCTACTCGATGCCAAGTAAAGGCAGGTGTCAGAAACAGTTTGTGCTCTGCTTGCTGAGGCGGTTGGTGTCACGCCGGCGACTCTGATTTCATCGCAGGGAGAGGCAGGTCGGTGCAGCACAGCACAATTAACCGCTGGTTTATTCCTCCCATCGCAAGGAGTGACAGAAAACAGCACCTGGGTGACATTCTGTGCAGCCAAAGCATCGTCAGACTTCAAGCATTTGAGGGGGGAAAGGGAATATATATCAGTGTTTGGGTTTTTTCAGGTTAACTGGTAAGTTGAGAGCTGAGTGCCTGGAGTTGGAATAAAATGGTCTTTAAGGTCCGTTCCAACCCAAACCCTTCTGGGATTCTGGGATTCTATGACAAAGTCACTCATCAAACCACACTGGCCAGGGTCTGATGGGCAAGATGAGGGATGGTGAAGAGGCAGGATTTATACATAGGCTGAAAAACTGATTTTAAATGGAAATTTCTCTTGCCTTGATATTAGAAGATGCTCAAAGCATTGACAAATTCCCATGGTTTGGCTTGGCTGCCCCAGCTCCCCAGCATGACTGTTCCAAAACCCTGTTGGTAGTCCCTGT